GCTAATGGGGCCGAAATTCTCAAATGGTAGGGCACCTATTAGATTTGTCAAATCCTTTTTTTTTTTTGTGTGGGAAAATGGGCTAATGGGGTAGCTCTCTCCCAAACCCAGGTGAAGGCAGGATTCAACCTCATGTCTCTGTAATGTCCATCCATACATTACAAGAAAGTTAGTTGGCACCTTCTATTGAAGTGTATATATTTTGGATGATCGAATAGAAGGTTGTATTGATAACATGGAGATGTTCCCGGTGCATGGCTGAAAAGGGCTGTGAGAACGGTGTGAACGTAGTTTTGTGAGGACTGAATCCGCTCACATTTGATGTCGTTTGCCCTTGATAAGTGATTCATTACTAGTATGCCCTTATGGATGTTATAGAATATTTTGAACTACTATTTGATATTCCAATTAATTGCTTAGAATTCAACCCATGTAAATTTTAGTTACTATTCTTATCTTTATAGTTAAAATACTTGAATATAATTCTAATATTTATATGTTTTGATTTGCAGGTTCAACCAATATGTTAAGTGGATTTGCATCGGAAGATGTGCTGCATTATTAGAGAATTTGATTATTTTTTTAATTTCTTGTACTATTTATATGTCAATTGGATATTGTATTTGAATAATGTCTTTTGGATATTTTAATATATAATATTTGAATTAATAGATTTCATTTTAATTTGATTTTTATCAAATGGTTTTGCTATATTAATTAGGTACGGAAATGCTCAATCAATAAACAATTCAGGTACCACAAAAATGATGCAATTAAGTGGGAATATTATTTTTTTGAAAAAAATTGGTTTATGCCGGCGGTCATGTCCGCCGGCTTAGCTATGAACCTGGTATTAATAAAAATGAAAAAACTAAAGATCTAAGCCGGCGATCTTGCAACCACCGGTTTAGCCACAAACAACACCTAAGGTGGTGGTTGTTTAACACCTAAGCTGGCGGTTTGGACCACCACCTAAGAACCCAAAGGAGTTTGACAGAAAACTAAAGTGGTAGTCTTTTGGTATCTAAGCCGGCAGTCAAAACCGCTACCTGATTAATGCTAAGCTAGCGGCTCGGTGTGACCGCTGCTTCAGAATAACTTAAATCGTCTTCGATCGACCCTCTAAGGTGATGGCCTTTTGAATCTAAGGTGGCGGTCCTAATCTAGGGCGGCAACTGAAAAGGGGGCGAACGCTTGACCGCCGCCTTAAATCTAAGTCGGCGGTCTTAATGCCTAAGTCAACAGTTCTAGGATTTCCGACTTTGACCATTTTTCTTGTAGTGGGGTCTTATCCTAGGGTTTGGTTTTGGGAAGCATCAACAAGGTATCATTGAACCAATATCCCATATTACTAAACCAAGGAAGATTCTAGCTAGGGCATAACCTAACTCAAGCAATGTTACGAGCCACAATGTTAACGATCCCAAATCCAAATATACCCTACTCCCTAAATCTTAATAATTAATTCATCAAGACCGAAGGATAAGAGGCTCGTTTACTAATACAAGAAATAGATCCTAGAATTTGTCATTGGATGGGAAGAGGAATACCTTTCAATAGAGGATGACAACCAAAAACAAGGTATGAACTCTTGCTTACTGAATATAAGGAACATGACCTTGTTAGTCTTCTCTTAGAGACAAAGGAAATGATCCATGGAGACAAGCTAGACCTATCCAGTTTAGCCAATCTATTTTATTAGTGGTGGGTGTCGAATCCAAACAAAGATAAATGTCCTGCTCAAATTAAATATTTGTATATAGTGATGAGCAAGATCGTCTCCACAGGGATTGGGTGAATTTATTTCCAAGTAAACGAGGTAGGAGGTTGTATAGTTAGGGAAAATAAGATGAAATAAAAGAAAACAACAGAAAGCAAGGATCAAATAAATGGGAGATTCTGGTTGAAGGGACAAGTTCAGCTTTGACTCCTATCATTAATCATCGATGCAAGGATAAATTCATATGTTTATGAATAAATTGGTTATAGCCATTAACAAGCTCTAACAACTAGCTTCTACTCGTATTATTTAGCAACCAAAATAAGCTCTTTGATTGCTTCTCTTATTAATAGACAGTCTTAAACAAGCTCTTAGGATTTAATTTATTAATAGCATTAAGAGGGGAGAGACCCAATTCTGGTCAACGATCTCACAAGCTCGGATCGTTTAAACCAGATCAAATATCTTCCTAACATAAATCGAAAATTTTTCTATAATCAATTATGTTAGTTGCCACCATGATTAAGCCTACCAATCATATACGAAATTGGAGGTTCAATCGGCCATAGATTATTCTTGTCGAATGAGCAAGGGCGCCTTCTTGCTTAATCAATAAAAATAATCTTCATAGGAAATTGCAGAAAACATATGAATACCCATAAACAATGAACTGAAATAAAAATCAATTAGATCTCACAATGTTTATAGAATCAAAGCTTCCCTAACCTTTCAACCAGAAAATAAAACCTTACACACACTTCATGATGAAATCGAAGCTTCCAGATGAGAGGGGGCGAACTCTGCTTCTTCCTCCTTGGTTGCTGATTGCTCCCTTCGAAGGTTGAAGCTCTCTTGGATGATTTTTTGATGCCTTGGGTGCTAGTCCGCCCCCCTTTATATAGCTTTAGGAGGAGGGGCTGTTTCCAACTCCTTTTTGAAGTTCTTTCTCAAAAATAGAAAGTCCTATTTTCTAATGGGATAATGATTAATTCATATATAATCTTATCCTTATCTCTAAACAAAAATCCTTAACTAAGATGGAATCTAACTCTCTCTTTCTTTTTCTTTTTAGAAATACAGAAGAAAATTGAATCTGATAGGACTCTTTGATGATTCTTATTCTTGCATGCTAAATTCGTATTGGGCCGCTGCAAGGCTTCTCTGTGAATTGGGCTTTTGCTGCGAACTGGGTTTCTACTGTGAACTGGGCTTTTCTGTGAATTAAGATTTGACTTCGGACTCGATTTTGACCTCGATGCAGTCCGAATCTATCAAAACTCAAAATATTAAAGTTGTAGAGTTTTTCCTTATCTTTCAAATGCATCTTGAATCATTTCAATCGGGGTCCGGATGGGAGAGTTATGCCCAAATTATCACGTGGCACTGAAACTATGCAAAATTACCCGATTAGCCTTGTTTTTCACCTAACGCCTTATTTCTTGCCCTAAATCGAAATACAATAATAGTGAGTCCGATTAAGTATTAAATAAGTATAAAAGTCTGAATATTAAGGAATAAAAATATGATAATTTTCATTCTCATCAATTAGTTAGATAATAAGACATTTTTTGACACAACTTGCTTATTAACCATAAGAGACCTTAGATAGGAGGAATCGCAAAGCCCATTCCAAGGGTTATTACAACCACCTATGTCCAAACAAGTTGAGAATCTGGTAACCATGCTTAAGCTAAAACCACTATGCCCAAAATACCGTATTAGATGGGTAGGGGAAATGAACAAACTTACATTATCCTGTCATGAACCCGATTAGGGACGTAAACGTGAATTTCGTCTGCTTCAAGGAAGACGAGAGACCTCCGATAAAACCAAATGGTTCTAAGTAAAATTCTTCAATTGATATCTTCTCAAAGAACAAAAGAAATATATATACAGACTTCTCTAACAGACTCATAGAACCACCCATAACCCATTACCTTACGTGACACTCTCTCACTACTAACTGACCCATAAAAATAAGGAACAAACTAATAACAAGTTTCACAACTGGGCCACGTGGCTCTCCACTACATGCATAGCCCAATAACTAACAGAAAAACACCCACTCTAATTTAAACCACATTCGATAAGTGGGTCCATGATATAGCCCCCATCCTACCTAAAGGGTGTTCTAGCCCAAACATCAGCCAGATCCTAGCATTTGATCCCTAATATGATAATGAGGAATGGATTGGTGTGAGTCCCACACAAACCTTTGATATTGATAATCTGGGATGGATATACGTAAATGAAGAAAAGAATCGGGTCTTTTACTTAACTCACCTTATAAAGCTGAATCTAGGGGATGCACTCACAATACCTGTGACTCTAATATCCCTCACCCTACATTTAGAATCCTTTTGGCGTCTCTAAGGCTTCTTTGCTGACGAGGAAGCTGAAGATTAACATACCAGGTTTGGAGAGGCATTATCTGAGCTAAGAATATTCTAGAATTTTGGCTTCATGTACTGATGTATATAGTCTCGTCTCACTTCCATAAATAAGGACAGCGTCCTTTGTGAAAGRGGTCAAGGGGTCAGATATTCATTCCACCTGAGCTAAGTCTCATTTCTCATTCTCATTAGGGACATCTTCCTTCTTGCTTCTAAGACTTTATGTCCATCCTTATCTCTGTTGGTTACAACATGCAATATGGAGATTCTTTGGTTAGTAAACACTGATTGAATTCCTCTATAGAGCTGAATATTTACTTTTGCAATGAAGAGGTTCACCCAATAAAGTTAGTACTTAGAAGTACGTGCATTATAGAGATTCTTTAGGCATTATAACTTTATAAATAGTATGGAGGTATTTAAGTATGTACATGTCGACTATAGTATGGAGGTATGTAAATACACAACAAGCAATTTATCACTTTTCATAAAGAGAGAAAATATGCTATCAACTAAAATTATTGAGATTTGTAAAGGCTTTGGCTAAGGTAAATATGATATATGAAAATAATTCTAAGTGTCATCATACTATCTGGTTTGATACGATCATCATGACCCTTTATTCTTTCATGACATTGTATAATAGAAAGATTCATGAAAAGGTTAAATCTGCTAAATTCATAGTATTATGGTAGTGATGATATACTGGTAATTGTCACTTATGAGCTATGACTATTAAACCTATGTGAATCACAAGTTCACAACTTATTATCGAGGAGAGAATTAAAATAGTTTTAAGTTTTTAACTCGATTGGATTATTCCTCCCTAAAAAATGTACAAGGTATATTCTACGATGGGCGACGTGGCTTTTTCATCTACCATAGAAAGGAGCTTTCCCTCCGAGCGATAGTTTTTCGAAGGATATACCATACAAGAATTCAGGAGCAGAGCAGAGATCTTCGCAAGGATCGTTTCCTTCCCACACAACTGTTATTTTCTTTATCAACAGGCCCTGCGTTTTTTTTTGCTAGGTATCAACCGGCCTTGCTTAGCACCCGCACACAGAGAGATGCAGGCGATGACGTTAAATTCATCCTACTGCAGGGCCCAGCAAGGCATCGAAGCCTCCTGTTCCTGTTCTTTATTAAACTTGCGTCCTTCCTTTTTCCAGGTCCATCCTTTCTCTCTCTCTCTCTCTTTTCGATTATTTTCGTACTTTAATTCGTATTGACACTGCAACAATTATCTTTCATCTGACCCATGTGTTTTAACTTTGATTCCAGAAATCGAGTTTTTGTGGCAACCGGATACCAGTTCTTAGGTCCGGCTTTTTATTGCAGAAGGGGTTATTGCGTTCTCTTCGTGTTCGCAAACACACGGATACGCTTGGAAAAGGTGAAATCTCTTCTTTTTATGTCAATTTGGTTGGTAGGTAGTTTTTAATTTTCTCATAAATTTGTTTTCGGATTCGAGTTGTTTGTCAATTAGGTATTTTTTTCTTTATTTCGGTAGAACAGTTGATTTCTATAGATAGAACATTCGGAGGTTCTCTTGCTTTATATTTTATCTTTGATTTTGGGGATAATGGATTTCCAAGGGAACTGCGTACCATAAGTTGATGTGGATGGGTATTGCAATATTGCATTTTATCGGTTCTTGCTCCTATTCAAGGATAATATAATTTTCTCGAAGCAAAGAAAAAAGGGATCAGAATGGATTTTATCTAGAAAAGGCTAAAACGTAAAGTTGTGTTTTTTTTTTTTTGTGTGCAAATATGGGGGATTATGGGGTGTATGTCTTGCTGGGCGTGCTATGCTAGCAGTCATTGCTTTAGAATATTTTCTATCTAAAAGGGTAGAAGATTTTTTTTTTTCTTTTTCTTTTGACTAATGCAATAGGTTGCTATTGATTGCTGTCCTCCCTCCCTCTACTTTTTTTATTACCTCTTTTATTGTTATAGTAGCTTGGATTATCTCTTCTGATATTTAGCCACTTCTTCAATGAGGTTTTAAACTTTCCTCTCCTGTTTTTCTTCCATGCAGTAGTCAAAGCTATTGCTACACCTGAATCAGCAATAGAATTGCCACTAACAGCAGAAAATGTTGAAAGTGTATTGGATGAAGTACGCCCATATCTCATGGCAGATGGGGGTAATGTGGCATTGCACGAGATTGATGGTAATATTGTCCGATTGAAATTACAAGGAGCATGTGGATCCTGTCCAAGTTCTGTAATGACAATGAAAATGGGCATTGAACGCCGTCTAATGGAAAATATTCCTGAAATAGTTGCAGTTGAATCAATAGCAGATGAGGAAACAGGGCTTGAGCTAAATGAAGAAAATATAGAAAAGGTAATCAACTTTTTTAATGCATAGGTTCATTTAAACATCAGGCTCTCCCTTGAGAATTTAACAGTGTTATAAATCTTGTACATAAATATTTAAAAGATCTGTATGATTTAGTTAAATTTGAATATCTGCTTTGTTAGCAAGTACCTTCTTGTTTAGTTGAACTTATTATGAAAATAATTATCTTGTAGATCTCAAGTAGATTTTGCATTTCTCTATAAATATTCATATAAACACCATTTTGAGATGATGAATGCGTTTAAATTGTTTCTTTCTTTCTTTAATAAGTAGTTTAAATTATTTCTTGCAATTTGTGGTTTGGTGTCTGACTTGCTCGTTTATCTCTAGGTGCCGATTCCTAGAGAAACCTAATGGTGTTGCTTAATTATGTTTTGTCTTGGTTCCATAATGAGTATGTTATGTGCTGGTTGAGTTTTACTTCATTGGGTCTCTATTATCAGTTTCAGGTTTGCCTTGCAATTATTCTTACTTTTCTCCGCATTATCAAATCATTCTTTCCATCTCTCTTATTTGTCATCTTCTTCCCTCACCATCTTCCTGTCATTTTTCTTTTCAGTTTCTGCAATCCATAAGAAGCACAACTAGGACATCTGTCCTTTTGTTTTCATTAAAATTTTAAGTAGTCTTAAGTTCTATCTAGTCCCTTTTACTGGTTAAGTTTAACCCAAGCGCTAAAACTAAACATGCTAGGGAACTAAGTATTCTCCAGATAATCCAAGTCCTGCCAATAGGACTTAAAGGTTAAGGAGTAAATAGCTAATGGCTTCTCCCCTTTCTTAAGATTGTTCACTTCTTGGCATAACCAATAAGCTTTGGCAACATTCATGGCTTGAAAATAAGTCTCTACTGCACTATCCCATACCTCGTTTGTAGTATACATTCAAAGTTAATCCCCATTGATGTATGGTTGCATTTTGTTTACCAACCACAATGTAAGCACGTAATTCTCTTGCATCCATTGAGCATGGGATGGATCTGAATTATAGTTTATTCTCATGTCTTGTAATGTACCTCAATTTGCTCCTATATATGAGTAGACTGTGCCCATTCAAACCTTATTATAGTGACTGAGATATTAGGGCTCTCTACAGACCCGATTGGATCAACCCCCAGCTTAGGATCTGCTTTGGATCACTTTCCATGGTGTCCATTGTCTGCAATTCCACTCCAATGATGCTAGTACAGAAATACTAGTGTTGCTACAATACTGGACTAGTGGACTTCCAATCAAGATTCCTTAGTTCCATAAAGTACCACAGCCCTAACAAGGATTGGAGCAAAAAAGAAACAGGTGCTTCTCCTAGCAGACATGTCAAATGGCTCCGAAACGGGTGTCTCAATTAAGGATAAACAGAGATGAAATGGGTCCTGAACACAACCTCTAATTGACATCTATGGCCTCCAACCAATCCATGAACCAGTTCTCTGGTTTTCTCTTGATGTGTTAGTGGTCATCAATTCAAATTCCAATAGACACTGCTGATCCTAGTAGTGTATGGGGCTGTATGCAGAAGAGAGCAACCTGCTCTGATACCAACTTATTTAGTGCTGAAATAAAAGTAAAGAATAAAAGAGAAATTTAATGATTGAATAAAAGGAGAAAGTACAATAGAATGAGAATTGAAAGAGAGATGAAAGAAAGAAGAAAGAGTGGGGACAGGACTATCTTGGAGTGCATGTGCAGCCCCTTTTCTATCATGTTGTAAAGAGTAGAAAAAATACAAAGATACCCTTCCTGCCAATAATAAAAGAATATAGCTGTTAATAACATCTCTCAAGTCTCAACAACACCTTCATTGTTGTAAGAAAGGAGAGGACAACCTTCATAAGTAGCAAGGAAATATTGTATAAAAGAGGGGGGGGGATGCATATAAAGGAACTCCATTAATCAACAAAAGAACTAGACATTGGGGTCACTATGCAATGAATTGGCAATAACGTTGTAAATTAATCCCAATATTCTCCTGAATGATGGAAAGTCATATCTTCTAACTCTTTCAATTAAGAAATCTAAAACAGAATAAGAAGACTGTTTTGAGGAGTCCACCCCCCTGAAATGGAGGAAAGGAGAGGAGAAGAGAAGAGGATAAGAAAACAGGATACATTATTTTCTGTTTATTCTAGGTATAGCTGCCTTTATATTTAGGCTTACAATTTGGGAATCTCTCATGCATGTCATGCAGCTGGTAAATGTGTTTGGCTCTCCTAGCACACACCTTTGCCTAATGTGGAGCTTGAGAAATGTGAACTGCTCCCTTGGATTGTATTCAGGTCTCAGGTATGGGCCTAACAGTACTCCTGACCTGAAGTTCAACCTTGTCCTCAAGGTTGAGATCAGGAAACTCCATCCAAAGCCGATCAAAAGCCTCCTGTGTAGCATCTTCTTCTGGTAGATTTGACCAGATTGCTAGAACTTCCTGTATCAGCTGCTTGCCCAGCTTGACCCAATGAACATTTATTACTTTGTTGGGTGTTACCACCGCCTCACCTTCTTGAGAGAACTCCGGCAGAACAGGGCTGTGGATCATATTCCCTGAGATGTGCTCCTTAAGCAATGATACATGGAATATGGGGTGGAGCTTTGAGTGTTCAGGTAATTCCAGTTTGTAAGCAACCTCCCCCACCTTTTCTAGTACCTGAAATGGCCTAAAATAGCATGGTGCCAACTTGTTCCAAGGTTGCCTACTGATAGTCATCTGATGGTATGGCTAGAGCTTGAGATAAACTAAATCTTCCACCTGTAACTGACCTGCCTGTGTCTTTTGTCATAATTGGCCTTCATGATTCGCTAGGCTCAACACAAGTTGTCTTGAGCTCAGCTAGAATCAGATGTCATTGCATGAGGTGATGGTCTACTACCTCCACTGCTGTGGACCCCTTCTGATAGGGCAGAATTGTTGGTGGTTTTTTGCCATATAAGTCTCTGAATGGACTCATGCCAGTTGATACTTAGAAGGAAGTGTTGTTCCATAGTTCAGCCCAAGGTAACCACTTGGTGCATTGTCTGGGTGCTCTCCAGCAAAGCACCCAAGGTATGTCTCCAAGCAACAGTTTTCCACCTTGGTCTGTTTGTTGGTTTGGGGATGGTAGAGTTCATGGGTTGGGCTAACCGGCTAAGTTGGTCCCCTGTAGTCTGAAGAATTCAGCCCAGAACCTGCTCATGAACACCACATCCATCTAAAACGATGGTACATGGGGTGCCATGTAACTTCACCACTTAATGAATAATTCAGCCACCTGGAGTGTTGTGTAAGGGTGTGGCAGTGCTGCAAAGTTTGCATAATTAGTGAATTGGTCCACAACTAGGTTGACCAACTCCCCTGTAGATAGTGGAAGCCTGGAGATCAAATCCATCAGAAGGTCTTCCCCATACTTGAGATGGACTGGTAAGTGGTTGTAGAAGCCTGGCTGGTTTTTGAGCAATATACTTTTACTGTTGACATAACCCACAGGCAACAACAAAGTCCTAGACTTCTCTCCTCATCCTTGTCCAGTAGTAATGTCCTAGCCACTGATATGTTTTAAGAACTCTTGAATGTCCACCTGTGGCTGAAGCATGGAAGAGGCGTTGTAGCTCCAGGAGTTTAGAGTCTGAAAGTAAAACCAGTCTTCCCTTGTAGCACAACATAGAGTCATCCACTGAGTAGCTAGGTGCCAATTCTGGAATTTGGGCTCATTTTTACTTCAGCTCTATCAACTTAGGATGGGCCTGGGCTTCTCTCTTCAATTCTTCAAACAAAGGGTAAATTGGTTGGGTTACCAGCATGGGCTCAAGTTCAGGACCATTTGTCTTGATAAATCATTGGAAGCCCTATTAGTACTTCCCATCTTGTATTCAATGGTGTAGTACCCCATAAGCTCGTTTGCCCATTCTTGCTGTTTGGGAGTGTCTAGTGAGTGTATGCTGTTCTATCAGAAATTTGAGACTTCTCTGATCTAATCTGATAACAAATCAACGACCCACTAGTTATGAATTCCATTTTGTACAGCTGGTACTATGGTCATAAACTCTTCATAGATTGACTTGACCTGGGCTTGGGGAGAGAGGGCCTTGCTGTAGTTGGCCAAGGGCTTACCTTTCTTGCATCAGGACTGAACCTACATTGAACCCTGAGGCATCACACTCAAAGATGGAAGTCCTTGTTGAAATCTATTAGAGGCAACACAGGTAGGGCAGTGATTGCTTCTTTAAGGCTTTCAAATGCTTCTTGGACCTCCTTTCTCCACTGAAATGAATATTTTTTTTAAGAGTTGAGTGAGAGGGGCTGCTTATAGCCCATACCCTCTAATGAACCTGCAGTAGTACCCTGATAACCCTAGAATCCCCTTAGTTCTTTGAGAGTTCTAGGTGGCAGCCACTTCACTATGGCAATCACTTTTATACAGGTCTGTTAAGACCAGCCCCTTCTCAACCACATGGCAGAGATAATCCACCTGACTTTGCCCAAATGAACACCTAGACTGCTTAGCAAACAATTGATGCTTCAATAAGATATGGAGTGTGTGATTCGTAGGTGTTCTTGGTGGGGCTCCCAATCCAGGTTGAAAATAAAAATATCATAAAAAAAATATTGATATGAAGCAATGCAAATGAGGGAATATGTCATTCATAAGTGACTGAAGCATAGATGGGGCGTTGGTCAGCTCAAAATGCCTGTCATGGGTTTTGAATGTTGTCTGGTCCTTAAATCCAACTTAGAAAATGCATGTCGTAATTCATCCAGTAGTTCGTCAATAATAGGGATGGGAAATCTATCCCTTATGGTGACTTTGCTCAATAAACTGCAATTCATACAAAAACACCATGTTCCATCCTTTTTAACTAATAGGATGGGTGAGGTGAAAGGATTGTTATTACTCAGCTAGATCATGCCCTTGTCAAGCAATTTTTGAACCAACTTCTCAATTTCCCGTTTCTGGTAATGGTATCTGTAAGGGCATATGTTAGGGGGCATCACTCCCGGAATAAGGGGAATCAGTGA